AGCTTGTACATTCTGTTTAATTTAGTTTCTATGTGACAAATTCTACCTTTAACATTGGGTGCCTATGTAGCTACCTATTAGTGTGGTAACAGATACACACATATCCTTCAATATTTCAAATATATGTATTTCTTCACAGTAAATTATGAAGTGAAATTCCATTTATTGTTTCTTATTTTTCCACTGGCCTCTCTTTCTTAGACAGGTTCCACTGTGCAAAAGGTGGAAGAAAGTTTTCTGGGTGGGAAAGACACCTGGTTTTCCCCAGGTGACACACGCAGTAATCACTTGCAGGGTCAGGGTGGGGGGTGGGAGACTGCCCAAAGTACCCCTGCGGACCCAGTTTTCCAGGACTAATGAAACTTGGAGGCTTAGAGAATTAATTGCCTAGAATAGTTTTGAGAAATTATTCTTCTTTTGGGGGGCTATAGGAAAATTCAATAAATGGAATTTCATTACTGTGGATGGAAAAACTTTGAGAATTAATTGCCTAGAATAGTTTTGAGAAATTACTCTTCTTTTGGGGGGCTATAGGAAAATTCAATAAATGGAATTTCATTACTGTGGATGGAAAAGTCGAGCAGACTTACTTCTACGTTACCGCCTGCTAGTGGCTTTTGATTCCAAATGGCAACATTTTTAATCCATCAATACTTGTTAATCACAAATTATGTGCAAGAGTTTGTACCCCAGTTTTTCACTTCTATAATTAAATCCTATATAATGAGTTTCCATTTCAAAAGTTGAATGTATAATTTAGGGCTATAAGATCAGGTTGAAATGACCAGGTTTTAAGATTTCATGCAAAAACAAAAGCACAAGGGAAAAAAGAAAGAAAATTCTCCATCTTCTAAACATGATTTCTCAGATTGTCTTTAAAGCAACAACACAAGGATTCAAAATGTATCTCCCAAATATGATTTCAACCAGTACAAGTGAATTTTAAGTCTATCACAAGGATATTTGCTCCATTGAGAAAGTTCATTCTGGCTCAGCCTTGGTGCAAATCACCAGCCTCTCCACCCTAAATAGTTCCCCATAGCTTGAAAGGCACAGAACGATAGCTGAAATTATAATGGAACTGACCTATGCACACATTCTCATCGTCCAGCTGTGCAGAAGCATTTCTGAAGTAGCCCAGCCTGCATAACTCACAGTGCTGCCCTCTAGTGTTGTGTTTACAGCTCACGCAAATGACTGTGTTTAGCAGATCGATATAACTGCATCGATTGGAGTGGCCGAAGCATTCACAGTCTTGCAAGGAAGAACAGAAATGTATACAGAGTGTATACAGTAGCAGAGTAATAGCACACTACATGCTCGGATAAAATGAGGGATGGAGAAAAGATGGTGGAATGGCATTACATACATGTGAATCAACATGACACACAGCGACAACAGGTGGTGCGACTGGCATGGAAGCAGCATGTTTCAAGCAGTATAGAAAGGTCGGACATTCACAACATGACTGAAGACTGTTAATTCTTGGCAGGCACAATGAACAGAAGCATTTGCAGGTGTACACCTTTTAAAATTTGGGAAGGTTCAGTTTCCACTGATGCAAAAGTCTAATTTTTGCACATGGAGGACTTTACTGTCTTTCCACCGCTTCCCATTTTCTCTTCATATTTGCAGTGTTAAAAAAGAGGAAGGGAAGCATGTGAGTATTGAGGGTCTGAGTCTGCTATCACCCACGACTCCTTTGCCTCACTGTCCTTTATGTCAAGACAGTAACTCAGTCAGGGCTTCACAGAAATCACGGCAAATTTACTAGGAATCTAGACACAAGTTCTTATTTTTGTTTTTCCCCAATGCTAAGAGAAGAAGATGGCTTTCTTAAGTCTTTCTTCAGGCCAAATCAGCATGTTTATGTGTGAGAGAAAACACACACACACAAAACCCAACACACAAAAATACAGGGAGATTATTTGTATGACAAAAAGTGCTCTTAAGATTTCCTTTTCTTTCAAGTTTCAAGCAAAGTCTGATAGAAAGAAGGGTTAGACAGCTACTGTATCCCCAGATGTCTTTTCCGTTGTCTCTAAAATGTTAGAGATGGCTCTGAGACTTAGGAGTGATGGTGGTAGGAATTAGAAGGGCGACGAAGAAAAGAGGGTGAGGACAGTTGGGGAAGGCTGGAGGGTGACTAGATTTCCTCTCTCTTGCATCACAAGAAGTTGTTAAGCCAATTCAACCTTTTTAAAAGGAATGATGAAGACCAAAGACTCTGCTGGTATAAACACTCATCAAATCAAATAGAAAAAGAAAGAAGTGTAAGGGGTAACTAGGTGGGAGATCTATCATGTCTTCTCAAAATATGAGAAAGTAGGGAAATATGGGGTAGGCCTAGCTGGACACTTATAAGGAAGGTCAACCATGATACTGCAAACTGAGTTTGTCTAAAAATACTTCTGTACTTAATGTCTAGCTTTTATTTTATCTCACTAGGAAGCCAAACACAATCACTACTGGAATTCACTCATTCACTCATTCATTCATTCAATATTTTATTGATTTGGTCTACTATGTGCCAGGAATTATTTTGGCCTACATAAAATTTTGGGAATGTTGCATTTTGATAACCACAGTAAAAATGAATAAGTGTTGTCAAGTAAGAAGAATAGGAGGGGTAACTAGCTTAAAAATTTTTTTATGACTGTATTACTGCTCATCAGAACAGTGTGGATTAATTTATTAGTGAGCTAATTACTACAACAGGGAGTTGAAGTCAAACTTCTGATGGAATGAAGTCAAATTTGGTTAGCAGCAGAGGAGGTCACTGGAAATGGTACAGAGTAGAAGATGCCCAGCAACTTGGGGATCCCAGCTGCTTAAAAGAGAGGCAAGAAGAAGGAGCAGATCCTGAAGCCAAGCCGCTTCCTTTGTTTCAGGTCAGCTGTATCCGTATGTCCACGTGTGCAGGGAGTGGAGGGTGGGGGTGGGGATGGGGAGCCAGAGTGGGCAGGGGAGGCTTTGAGACTCCAGCGCAGCAGATAAAGTAAGAAAATACTGTAATAAATTTAGTACTTAAGGAATACCAGGTTAATTAATAACAATACTACCAACAATAGAGTTACAGATTACCAAATTGAATTTTTTTGGAAAACAAGAAGCATTTCAGCCTAATCCACTCTACTTCCCTGATTTACACCTTGTTCATACTGGTATTTCTGACTCCCTAGGAAACCAGAAAGGCTTCTAGAGCCTTCCTTGGTTGAGCCTTTGACACAGGGAGATTATTCTGGCTTGGAGTCTCCTGGGAGCAGTGGTTGCAGGGAGGAGACCCAAGTCTCCAAAGCTAAATGATTCCTGAGGATAACAACCCTCATCTTGAGAGTGGCTTGGAATTCCTGAGGAGGTGGCCATAACAACCCTGTGTCCAGCTTCTCCCTCCTCTGGAAGATGCCCCTTACAGGTTGTCCTTCAGACTCCTCAACCCAGGCTGGTCCTTGGTTCACCTAATTTAATTAATGCAGCCTTTTTCCAAAGTGTCTTTTTTGTGTGTATGCAAAAACTCATTCTAGGAACTTTTTGGAACTACGCAGTAACAACCCTGTGTCCAGCTTCTCCCTCCTCTGGAAGATGCCCCTTACTGGTTGTCCTTCAGACTCCTCAACCCAGGCTGGTCCTTGGTTCACCTAATCTAATTAATGCAGCCTTTTCCCAAAGTGTCTTTTTTGTGTGTATGCAAAAACTCATTCTAGGAACTTTTTGGAACTACGCAGAAACTTGTTGTCAGGAAGCTTGTTTAGCAGGTAAGACAAATGTGCTCAGATAACTAGAAAACAAAATAGTGGCACAAAGCAATCTAGGTAGAAGGAGAAATTCATTTAACTTAAGGAAAATTAGGAAAAATGTCCTGCAGTACCCTGCAGTACCTGACTCTTTCCTGAGGTAAGGTTTATTAAAAAATAAAAATAAAAAAGTGGGGAACGAGCATTTCGGGTGAAAGGAACAGAGTGAAGAGTGTGCAAAATTGAGGAAATGTAGAGAATAAGGCTGGAGAATTCTTATAAAATGATTCCTTTATGGATATTTAAAGGATGCTGTAGGATCTACCCAGTGACCAGAACTACAGTCTGAGCTCCATCTGACAAAATTTTGTCCAAGAAAAAAAAAAAGTGTCCCTAAGGTTCCCGTGTTCAACACTATAAGACCCACTCCATGAATCTCCATAAACATGTCAAATGTGACATTGTTGCCTACTATTATTTAAATTCAATGACTAGTACACATTTCTGTAATGACATTAACTCATTTGTGGGATTGTTGAAGACCAATTTGTTAATTTTGACAGGACAAGTTAAATAATTATGTAAGAAACCACACTCAGCTAAATACAATAGTATAAACATTCCAGAAGATAAGTGGATATTTAAAATGTTTAATAAACATTAGAATGTTTTATAATCTAGGAAATGGGCTAATGATAACTTGGTTCTTTTAAGACTTCTGGGACCTTTCTTACACTTTGGTAGAGCTATCTTCTCTGGCTATGATATATTTGACAATGCAAAATGAGAAAAAGATCTTTGAAAGTGATTTGAAAAACATGAGAGCATTATATAAATGCAAGACATTTCAAGTATAAGTATTAGACTGCTTTATTATTTTTCAGTGTTCAACAGAAAAGTAATTCACCACTCCTTAGTACCTAGTCCTTCCACATAGACACAGAACCCATTAATGATCATGAATGATACAGTTTGAGTTGCATTATCATATTAAGATTCTGAAGGGATAATATTAATAGTTTAATAATTCTCTTATGCTCCAATTCACTGATTTACCATGTCCTCCCTTCTCTTCTTATAGAGTTCATGGTCATCCTTATAATCACTTCCTCTTATAACTTTTTTTGCCCTCCCAACCCCGAATCATCATCTCCTGGGAAAATGTGATCCTGATTAAATTCTCTGCCTCCCATGCCTACATCCCAGCAGCTTAGACGTAGCTGGAGCTTTTTTCCAACCATTCTGAAACAACTCTCACTTAAAGTTCACGACCACAAACCTCAGTGGGTTCCTCTGGCAATTCTTCCTAAGACAGGGGACTCTGGGCCACCACTCTCTGTCGGTTCTCCACCTTCCCTACCCAGCATGGCCCATTTCTCTTTTTTGCCTTTTGTCCTCATCTCCTCAAATGTCTCAAGGCTTAGTCCGTGGACATCTTTGCCCTTTAGGTTCATCCTAAATGTTTTTTACTCAGCCCTATCACTTTAAAAACCATCTACATGTGAACCATTCTAAAATAGTTATTTCCAGCCTGGACCAACTCCCCAGTTAGTGAGATGCCTTCACATTCATATACTGTATTCAACTGCCTTCTCAGCAACTCCACTTGGATGTTTAATAAATGTGTCCACATTACCATGTTCAAACTGAGCTCTTGGGTTGTCTTTCTAAACCTGCTGCTCACCCAGGCTGTCGCATCTCAGTAAATGACAACACCATTCTTCCAATTGTTTAGCTCAAAATGCGTGGAGTTGTTCTTGACGCCTCTCTTTTTCCCACCCTTTACAACCAGTCCATCAGCAGATGCTTTTGGCTACGGTTTTAAAATACATTCCAAATATCACCACCTCTCATCACCTCTGTCTCTTGCCCTGAGTTAAAGGCAATATCACTCCTCACCTGGATTATTGCAGTCTTCTCCAAACTGCTCTCCTGGCTTCCACCCTTGTGATAATCTCTTCTCCACACAATAGTCAGAGAGACCATTTCAAAATTTAAATTAGGTCATGACACCCCTCTGCTCACAATCTTAATGGTTTCCCATTTCATTCAGAATAAAAGAAGAGTGCGTTCATTCCCAAGTTATGTGGCCATAGCTTCCCCGGGGGAGTCACTGCTCTCTCTCCACTTCCCATGCTGTGCAGTGCCTCCCTGTTGCTCCTCAAACATGTCAGCACCTCCCAGGGCCTTTGTGCTTGCTGTTACCTCTGTCTAGAATATTCTGCCCTGCTCCAGACACCCCTATCATTTCCTTCCTCACTTCTTTTATAGGTTTCTAGTCAAAGAAAATTCTCTGGCCACTTTATCTGAAATAACAGCCCCCAACCCAAACACCGTAATCCCCCAATTTCCTAATCCTGCTTAATGTTTTTTTCGTAGACTTTATAACATCTGAAAAGTATAGTTAAGAAAAAGATTCTCCCCCTATGCTCTGGATGTAAATACATCAGTGCAGACCGTGTCTGCTTTGCCCATAGTTGCAACCACAGAATTTAAAACATCGCTTGGCACATACTTAGCACTGAAAGAATGTTGTCGAAAGAAAGAAAGAATGAATGATGATCCTGAGGCACCTTCCTCTGGGAGACAGAGGAAGACCCAGAGGAGAGTTATGTTTAAATTCATTCTTCCACCATTCGAATTCCCTAAGATTCTGGCTATATCTTATATATTAAAGAGTTTAGGAAAATAACAGCCACACAAGAACATATAACTGAGTTAGTGATTATTTTAGCTCAGAGTTGACTATATATCTATGCACAGATCAGTTTAGGCAGAAAAAAGCAGATTTCCAAAAATTGCCATGGCTTTATATAGTTTTTAATCTCAATTGTATTGTAGACTGCATATATATATATATATATATATATAAGCTATCTATATAGATAGCTATATTATTTATGTATCTTTCTATATACATGTACCAGACAAGTTTTATTACTATTGTGTGAACAGAGCTAAAGGGGCTCCCTAAAATGCATACACATGGTGTCACACAGCAAGCATGGGCAGCACATATTTATTGAGAACTACACTGTACCAGGCACCATGTACTGAGAGACAGAGTGAATGAGGCCCCGTCCTGCAGAATCTAGAGTAGGGTTTCTCAACCTCAGCGCTCTTTTGACATTGTGGGCCAAATAATTATTTGTTGTGTGGGGCTGTCCTGTGCATTGTAGGATATTCAGAAGCATTCTTGGCCTCTATTCACTAGATGCAGTAGAAACCCCCAAGCTGTGACAACTGAAAATGTCTCCTGACATTGTCAAATGTCCCCTGGGGGGCAAAATCCGTCCCCCCCACACCGTTAAGTGCCATTAGTCTAGTGGCCTAGAGGGAAGATAGAAAAGAAAAATATATATAGATATATCATATATATGATATATATTGTATCATATAAGGCAGTTATGACCATAAAGTACTTAATAACCAAGAGACTAAAAGGCTAGAGGTGTTTTAGAAGGGAGAAAGTTCAAAGTTGGCTTTCCAGACCAAAAAAAGCCTAAGTCTCTTCTAAAGCTGAAAAGGTTCCTTCTGGCTGGGACTGGCTGGGGAAGACCTAGGCATGTAGGAGTTATGCGGAAACGAAAGGTTGGAGAGAAAGAGCGTAGAAGAAAAAGAATGTTACGAAGAGGAGGGGACTAAATTTCCCTTTTGTGTCCTCTTTCTTACAGCTCTCCATGTTGCCTGTAAGTACATTATTATATTACTTGTGTCAATACGAGGGTATTTCAAAAAGTTCGTTGAAAGATTAATACTGTTTTTAAACTCCATTTTTCCATGAACTTTTTGAAGTACCCTCATGTAACATAAAATACTCTGACTGTAGAACATGTAGATTTTTTTTTTTTTTTTGCCAAATGAGGAAAGCTTATTCAAACCCTGAGCTGGTGAAAATCCATTTCAGTCATTCAAAAGAAAAAGGGTTTGGGAAAAAGACTTTAGATAGATAGATAGGGAATCAGAACTCTAAAAAGTCTTTTCCCCTCACTGCATTAACAAAGCGATGCCTCCTCTGGGGCTGAGGGGCCTCCCCCAGGGGTGGGAATGAAGAGGCTGTAGCATTTTCTTGTTCTTTTTCCCACCCAACCCTCTCGCAGCCTTATGTAGATATTGAAGCTCTTCCCCGCACATCACTTGGTGACATGTGGATTTTTCTCTGAGAAGCCTGCTTCATTAGGTAGCTTCATCCTGCCTCCAGGGATGTATTTGGACCTCATTAGTGCTATGTCCTCAGGAAACTAGAGACTCAAAGATGCAGGGTTAAATTCCAGGTCAGGAGGCCTGTTGTATACCCAGCGTGCTTCACATTTATGCTTGACATAAAAGAGAGGGACTTGGTCAAAGTCCCTTTTGCTTCCTTTCTCCTTCACCTCTGTGGTTTCTTTCCATAGATTTTGCATATGATAGACAAGGAGGAGCATCCCTGCTGTGGCTTTAATGACTGCCTGCCTGCATGACACACCACGCGCCCAGCTCGGTGTGTTACCCTCTGAACCTGAGGCTACTCTGTTCCCAAGGAACTTATTTCCCAAAATTTCAAGCCAATTTTAATTCCCCTTAAAAAGGCACCTTCAGTGTTGTGCAGTTAAAAGCACATTGTGATGAAGTTTAAGATGTGGTTTAAGTACCATCGGTTTCCCTTTTCCCATCTCCTTGTCTCTCTACGCCACAGAAGGACAAATTCAACATTGATTAAAATCTGAAAAATGACTTGACTAAATTCAGTAAGGAATATGGAAGCTATGATGGTCATTTTCACTAAGTGGGTCAAATTAATTTCAGATTTTGCTAATAAATGTATTTCTTTGTAAGAGGTGTTTCATGAAAAAAACAAAACAAAACAAAACAACAAAACCCAAACCACAACATATGCCCAACAGTCAAGAGTGGAAAATAAGACATACCTATTATACAGGACATTTAAAGGGAAATGGCAAAATAAAAACAGAAGTTTTTACAAAACAAAACAAAACAACAAAACCCAAACCACAACATATGCCCAACAGTCAAGAGTGGAAAACAAGACATACCTATTATACAGGACATTTAAAGGGAAATGGCAAAATAAAAACAGAAGTTTTTATGTTTCCTGAAAAATCTTCATTGTGTGAATGACAGATGCTAGTTGGAATGGGCCATTTGTGAGTCAGAGATGAGATACTGTTTGCTTTCATTAAAAGAAAGTAATTGTAACTATTATTTTCAGATCATATAATCAATGCTTGACCCAGTGCAGATCTTCACTGGTATTTTTCAGTTTTATTCAAAACAACGTTTAGAAGCATAAATTGCAAGGTGTTTCAAAGAAAGTAATTGTAACTATTATTTTCAGATCATATAATCAATGCTTGACCCAGTGCAGATCCTCACTGGTATTTTTCAGTTTTATTCAAAACAACGTTTAGAAGCATAAATTGCAAGGTGTTTCATTTGTCACAAAGTGAAATGGGCACCATACGTGGAACCTGCAATTCTGGTCTCATGAAAAGCATCCTTGAAACTCACTGTTAGTGGGTTTCTTTATTTTCAGTGCAAATGTTAGTGCTCTAACATGCATGGTCTAAACAGGAGCCTATACTGTTATAATTCTTATTCACACATTAATCTTTCAGAAAAGGAAAAGCATCCTTGAAACTCACTGTTAGTGGGTTTCTTTATTTTCAGTGCAAATGTTAGTGCTCTAACATTCATGGTCTAAACAGGAGCCTATACTGTTATAATTCTTATTCACACATTAATCTTTCAGAAAACAAATGTTGCAGCATTTTTAATTGCAGTCCAATTTCTGAGTGAAGCATTTATTTTTCTTACAGATGACATTCTCAGTACTATTTGATGCATTGATTGATATCAGTCAACATGCCTCACCAATAAGATAATGGGTACACATCACAGATATTCCAGATTCATACAGTGCAATGTTTCACAACACATAACACCATGAAATCACTGTATGAATCCAAGAATTCCTACCTCTCTTGTGGTTTGCAACTTGAACAGAAGAAACTGTTGACAAAGCTAATTTGGGAGCAACTGGATAGGTTTAAAAGAATGAACAGCAAATTAGAAACAATAGTGAAACGTTCAAACTGTAATAATTTATCACCAACCCACTTGAAAAGTAGCCCTAAATGAAGAGATTATTTGTATCTGTTGTTTCTGGAACTTTGTTTCAATTACAAAGGAAGGCTTGTATTTGGCTTAAAAATGGCTCAACATTGTCAGTAATAAAGTTTAGAATCTTTATTTTCAGAGCAAAAATAATTGCCATTTAAATCAAGAATCTGGTTAAGCAAGAATCATTCCCATAACAATATGTATATTAGGATCCGTGTTTGTACAATACTACAATTTTTAAAATAGCAGTTGTGTTGCTGAGTTAATTAGTAATATCATTCCCTTAATTTGCCATGTCATTCTTTCTGTCACCATAAACTAGTCTACATATAAACGAGTTAGACTATTTTTGCTAACCTGGTGAGACATCACAGAATGTAGTCGGTCACAATGGTCAGCCATTCAGCAGTACTCAGGCCTTGGTCTCAGAGTCATTTGAACATGTGTACCTTTAAAAACTGTAGTCTTCTCAACAGTTATTACCTTTGTGATGATATCAGTTTGTTAATGGCAAGGCTTTTCTCTCTAAGTTTGCCTGCCATTTCTTGTCCAATTACTTATAAAGAGTTGCTTGTGAAAACAGCAAAAGCAGAAGAGAGTCAGATCTTCTTTGCAGACGTTGACAAGATAAAGTATGTCTGTGCAGAACTGGCCTCTGCTACGAAGTGCACCTTTTGCTAAAATTTCAAGTTCAAGCACTTTATTCAACTGTGCTGCTCCTCAAATAGATTAATTTGAACTCGCTGTCAACACTCTAAAAAAGAGCCACTGGCATTACCTAAATGATATTTCTGAAAGCTTTTTGTCCTTAGAAAACATAGCTAAATAATTAAACGGGTTTATTTCAGGTTTCAAACAATGCATAATTGTGTTCAGCTCAAAACTCACTGTGGAGAAGTGTTAAGTCTTAGATCTTATCTTGTATAATTTGTTGAGCTATGAAATTCAATGGGAAATACTGAGTGACATTTCACTGAAGTTGCTGTCATTGAACTTGCCAAGGAATAAAGCCACTAAACCTCCCCCGAATCATCACAGAATTATACTAACAGGGGCGAGTTTGATCTGTATATCTTCTTCCACATATGTATGCAGAAACTTGAAAAAATTCATTTGGAGCAGATGATTAAGATAATTCTATTTGCTAGTAATATATGTATCTAGGACAGTCTCGATTTCATCACTCTGATCAAGGACTGCAAATGCAGCCCTTCCAATTTGACTCCTCAACAAATCGCTAATATATTTTGTTTTGCTTAGCAGCTATTTCCTGGTTCCTCCTTTTGCTCATTTCCTCCTCCATCTATATTCATTAGAGTTTAAAAGGAACATCCTGTGTATAACTAAGGAAGGTGGAAGCCAAAGATGTGCCTTTTTTTTTTTTTTTGAGAAGGAAGAGGCAAAACAATACAATTTTATATTAAAATAAACTATTTATGCATGACTATATATATGTGTGTGTGTGTGTGTGTGTGTGTATCGAGAGATGTTAATGTGAATTAAACACTACACTGTAGCTTATAAAGTGTATTGCCCAGTTTTTATAAGATCTATTTTTTCCTGTGTAACCACACAGCTGTCTGTCAGTGTCCTTTTCTATCTTTCAACATTAGAAGTCAGAAAACAATTACTGCTCTAAGGACAGACAGAAAACAGTTTACTTTTAATGCTGGTAGACATGAATGTTAATTGATAAAGGAGAAAAAGGGGAAAGTCCCAACAAAGAAAATTTACTGTGATGTGTAAGAGAGAGAGAGAGACAGAGAGAGAGACTGCTCCAAATTTTTGCATCAATATGGAACAACAGTAAAAGAAAACGGATCTATTAGCTGTGACAATACTATTGTTGTGTATTTTCCCAGACCCTCAGCACGACTGAGGTACTGGTCAGTTTACTTAAGAAGAATAAAAGGGAGACAGTGGAAGGATGCCTGTGACACTCACAAGTTTCTCAGACTTATTCATTCTCCGTAATGTGATGGCTACAGAACTCTAGGCTTCTCCCGGGACTGACTGACATTGACTGTGAATTTGGTAAAGGGCTTATGACTTCTATGCCATCTAAGTTTTTCCTGTCTTTCACTTTAATAATTCTGGGATACTCTTCCTATAAGAAAAATGATTTGAATTATGATTCTTTCAAAGACATGGCATTTATAATAATGCTCTTATTTAGTGCTAAGAAATGGTATATGGGATTTTCCCCCAAACATGTGGGATTTTGTACCAGGAGGAATTTTACGTGCTCCTACCTTGTTTTGGGTTAGAAACCTCAGGGGAAGAAATATTCGGCCATATCCTATTAAATTTTGGAGGATCTGCATGCATCAGGAAAAATCAGGGTATGTTATTTTCAGCTATAATGTCATTTGATCTAAACAGAAAATTATATGGACAAAGACACAAACCCCACAGCTGTTCCTTAACTTAGCTGTGACGCACTTAAACAAAACATGACTCCCGCACCAAACAAGAGCAAGCAATTGATGATTCCCAAAACATTGAATGGACATTAAATATATAGCCACTACCCTACCAAAGCTGTACATTTACTTTTGAAATAAGCTAGAGTGTTCTTTCCCAAATAACCAACTAGAGACATCAACCATCTAAACTGTTATGTAAAGCTAGTGCCTGAAACTAGAAGATAACACTAAAGACATAATTTCTCACTTGAGGATTCCACTCTCTTCAATTTATATTTACAGATATAAACTGGTTGCATTAGTCTTTTGTGAGGGAGTCTTTGGGGTATGTTTTAAGTGTGAGCCATTATCTCTAAAAAGAAGTGGATCTATTTTCTATTTTTATATATGCAATTTCTTAGAGAAGAAAAGGGAGATTACTGTTGGTTCTGGCTTAAAAAGAATAGTCCAGGTTGCTTCCAGTCATATCTAAGGCTTGTATATATGGGTGTGTGTATGTTTTCATGATGCTGTTACCTCAAAATGTTTCTAGAGTTATTGGTTCCAATCCACAAATAACTCAAAGCATTGTTTAATTTAAGAATTGATATTATTTCTTTCTTGGATCTGTGAGTATTTAAAGAAACAAACCAACCAACCCGACTAAGGAAGGTAGGAGAACAGCTAGGCTTAGGATTTGATGTTCTAAAACTATTTTTGTTAAGGTGCCTAGGCCATAACTATTAAAGCAGATATTTCATGATTCAAATCCTACCGTCCATTGAGTCCTGCACAAAACCACATCTCTTGTGTCATCCTTCAGGACCGCCCGAGTCCACAGTGACAGCTCTTGCCTCTAAACTTCTGTAGCATGTTACTGTTGGTACTCATGATTTCTCACTGATATGTGGACAGGCATGGATTTTCACATTGCAAGTTAAAATTTCACAGGTCTCTTTTTCATTCTCCTAATTAGGTTGGATCTCTTTGAAGTAAGGGCAAAGTCTTGCAGAGAGGGCTTCAGTAAATATCTGATAATTGAGAAACTGATATCAAGTGGCTAGGTTACTGTAAGCAGGTATTATTAGATTGTTTTCTCCTTAATTATATTTAGTGAATAACATTTTTGTAAGACATGGGATTTTCACCATGACTTTATTTTTTAAATATTTATTAGAAAAACTGATCTAACAGATCTAATTGAGCTGCTGCTCTCTGTTTTATTCTGGCCTTATACACATATACACAAAGGCAAAGGAAATCTTAATGATATTGCTATATCGACCTAAATTTATCAATGAAAAAACAATGTAATAATTTTCCACATTTGCATCCAGGTATTAATAAGTATATATTTGGTTAACTTAATATCTCATTCTTAATTGTTTAAAATTTTATTTTGTTTTATAATTGCAAGGTCAAGTAAAAAAACAGCTTAAAATTAGCCTATTACTCTCTGGTTACAAAATTACTCTAAGATCCTGGCCTGTAGTAAATATTCAACAAATATTAGTAACAAATGTTTAATTCCCAGAAATAAATTAGGCACATGGGAGGCTATATTAACAGTAGAATTGAGACAAATTCTCTTATTATACCTAATTGCAATGAAAGTCTTTGCAAAACATAAAGCTTCTGAGAATTCTTAGCCAGCAGGCCAGTTGTTTCAAGTAGTTTTAATGTACAAACAGCAAAAAAGTTATAATGCATTAAAAGTATTTGTATTGTCCCTTTAGGTGAACTGTTGCAGAATTTATTAATTTCATTTTTTTCACAAATCAACTGGGGAAAATCTTTGGGTCAATGTGAAGGTCTCAGAGTAGTAGTTTGTTACACGACAAAAGGCACTGGGAAGCTGAGGAGTCTGGTCCCAGTTCTGCCACTGAGGGGCTGTCTGGCTGTTAATTTCTCTGGACTCCAGTTTCCTTATCTCTAAGATGTAGATGCTGGATAAGAGATCTCTAAGGGTTCTCTCAGCCGACAAATTCTGTCACTCCAGTGGTTCTCTCATGGCCTAGCAGCATCACAGTAAAGTTCGTGGAAGGATGAAGCCTGTTAAGATGAGGCATACAACCTTTGGAGCATCGAGGGGATTAAGCATCCCTGTGTGAAGGGGAAATGATTGCCACAGCTTTCACTATGGACCTTTCCATTGTCACAACGAAACACAAACTGGAGTTGAAAAGTTATCATTAGAGTGAGGGGAGGGATCACTATATGCTTGCACATGACCAATCACTCAGAATAGACTTTTATGGAAATCCCTTCTTAAAGATTTGGCTCCATACATCTGGGAAAATGGCCTGAATTTGTGTTGACGATCTCCTCCACTGGACTCCAAAAACTATGCCTGTGTGTATGGAGACCACAATCACCTACTCCACGACTGCCCCCTTTAGAAATAAACAAAATATCTGAAACGTCCATCAGATGCTATTTTTCTATTGTTATTTTGAATTTTCAAATTACATTTATGGAAAGCCTAGAACATACCTATGTAGGGGAAAATTATCTAAGATATGGTGCAAGTAAATAGAGCTCAGGCTGGGCTGGAACCCCAAGTTTACTACTTGGACAAGTTCTTTAACTTCTCTGTGCCTAAGCTTTCTCATTTGTAAAGTGGGGATAATGACACTACCTGCTTGGTTGTTGTCAAGGCAGAGCGAGTTCATCTTTGGTTGGCATTGTAGTGAGTATTCAGTAAATGTTAGCTCCTATTCTATTTGTGGTTGCTGTTGTAATAAAAACCAGATTACTAGAGTATAAACAGTTCCCAAAGCAAATGATTCTGATATGTTAAAAAAAAGCTCACTTGGGATGTAGCTTATTTAAGGCAAAAGTCCAGTGCTAGGGCCTGTATCAATTCATACTATTGTTCAGAAAGCAATAAAAATTATTTTATAATACTGTGGGAAATATTTGATGTTTAAACTTTAAAGATATGAAAATGTTAATTTTCATGTTTCAGTTTACAAGTACATGAGCTTAGATTATGAATCAAACATTTAGTTTTTCTGAATTTTTTTTTGTTGCTAAGGACTCTTCAGAAAACTGTTGTTAACAACTTAGTTATGGCACTTGAAGTCCATTTTCATGAATCAGAAAAATTGAGATTCCAATTATGAAAATGAGGATCTGGGAGAAAATTTTTTTTTTCTCTCTGCCCCAAGGAAAGCCCTCTGCACTGTAAGTTGGAGAGAACTGTGTTAGAATTGCTAAATCTGACTGTCTAGTGCTGGCGCCATAATGAATCAAGCGAAAAGCAAGCTTGAAGCTGAAACCTAAAGACATTTATTTATACCACGGAAGCTTTAGAGGTAGCGTTGCTTTAGAATAGTAAGTTGCCTCTATCACACGGGGCATTCATTAAGCATGATTAGTAGGCAGTTTTCAATTTACTGGGCAAGCAGCCTCTAAGACAGAGTAAAATGTGACCATGCTTTTCCCATCAAAGCAGAAGTTTACTCAGTTTTTTCTAGAATAATCTACCATGTACAATCTCATACTTTAGTAATTTAAATACATGAAAAAGTAGATTTTAATGTTATGATAGAATGTAAAAAGTTCTAGTTTGGAAATTAAACACTGAGCTGGAATCCTAACTTGGCTACCATCCAGATGACTTAGACCATCCATTTAAGCCTTAGTTGACTTATCTGTAAAATGATGAAGTTGGATGAGTTGCTCTTTAAGTTTGCTAACAATACTAATGTCTACGTAATTTTTGGTTCTAAAATATGGCACCCTGTGAGAAACCATGATATGAAAAGCCATTGCTGAGAGGATGTTAGCAAGCCTTCATTAAACGTTCTTCTTCCAGGGGCATATGAAGAAAGTATCAGGTGGACATAAATTCACAGGGTCCCTTTGGGTTTAAACAGTCACTGCTGTTGTTCCTCAGGGAATCTGAAAATAGCATTACTGATGCCTAGAAAGGAGTCTACAGGAGATCTTAAAGCTCTCCAGGAGAAATCCCTAGAGTCTTGGAAGTAATCTTACTATCTTCACAGCTAGCTGCCTACTCTCAGAAACAGCATCATTCAACTGGTGGGGAAAATAGAGTTTAACGTGACAGTGGTAGGTCTCTCTTTGAGACGGCACATAGAATTTTATTTTGCTATAAGCAACTATCTCAGAGAAAAAAATTTGGTTCACTGTCATAGAATATGTATAAGCATGTTTTATAAATTGCATAGCTAATTTCATGAACTGTTTCAGGTTTTATAATATATCTGACATCTATACTTTTCCCCTCATCCTCAGTATATGGGGATGTTTCGTGGTAGAGGAAGGGCATATTTTGATGGTGGGTGGGGAGGGTCACAGCGCCCTGTCCCCTGTCCTCAGACACCATGCTTGTAAGTTCTCCTGTTAACAATACAATGAGGTACCAGAAAATAAACTACAGGACTCTGGTTCCTGGCACAAAAATGGGTCATTTGGGAACAACAGATCTTTGAAGGTGCAATGTAGTGGACTGAAAAAGAGAGTCTAGGGTAGGAGTCAATAAATCTACAATTTTTGTTTTCTAATCTCTTCTTGGTATAATGTTATGAGGGTAGCCTTTGGAGTCAGGCATTCCTGCCCATGTTACACTGGGCAAGTTACTTGGCCACTCTGAGCCTCAGAGTTACCATTAGTAAAATGGAATTCTGTAGATATGTGGGAATTTCTCCCTACAATTCTGCAATTCAAAGCAAAAAGCTCTGCCTAACTTTTTTCATGAAGTGGAGTGCTTAATTGGAAAGCTTTCCACTAATACTCCAAGAGGACTTCAATGGATACCTACACCATTGAAGTGATTACTTCAGTGAGAGAATACACAGATAACTCTTCGAAGTTTTATCATAGGACCTTTTGGAGATCTTGGAAAATCTTGTTTAAGCTAGGAATTCCCTGATCCCACAGATAACCAGCAAAGGCAGAGATATCAGCTCACACTTAAAAAGTGTCTTGACATTCTAAATTCACGTAGAAAAAGCAAATTTACTCAAGGTGGGCAGTTGTTGTCAATAAAGATTGGTAAATCCCTCAGAACTCTCAGAATTTTTATTTATTTTTTTAAGTAGGAGATTCCTTTCTGTCCTCCACTGAAATATTTGATTCATTCTTCAGGATAAAGAGGCAGCTATGTCCTAATGTTCATTCAATTTTAGGATAACCACAAAGGTTTCATGAATGTGAAATGCTAGATACACAAATATGAAATGGATCTGTGATGAGGATACTGGGTACATGATATAACAATCCCAAAGGCATTTCACCTGGGACCTTAGCTTTCCTTCCAGAATATCAGCAAACAGTTCAAAATTAATGTAGCACACCATGCAATTTATCATATCACTACACTAGCCTGATAATTTTTCTCCTCATTATGTAAAACCTAATTAGTTAAAGGGCAATTCAAATGAAACTTTTATTTGAGGGATTTAGAAGTATTTAAGCAAAGAGAAAAACAGAAAAACAAACACTACAGCTCTCTGGATGGTATGAACATGATTATTAATGACCCTTGGGTGGGAAAATGATTAACCTTGTTATTTTCCTCACGATCCAGGTTTCTACAAAAAATGGTACTGCACGAAAATATTTGGATGCTGTATGGAAAACAACTTCTACAAGGTCTCCAACTGTCATCAAATGTTTTCAAGTATGAAAACATCTCTGGGCTTTCTCAACAGGCTAATGGATCCGTGCAGGTAGCACTTCCCTTGTTTAATAGTTCTGCCAATTAAATAAAATTAGAGATGAATTTTTATCTCTGTGATGAAGGCAATGCTCATTATAAGACAAAATGGGAAAATGGAATATTTCCCTTAAGTGAACTGCTTCTAATTGAATAAATTGGTGGTGGTGGTGGTGGTGGTGGGGCAGCCAAACACCTTCTTCAGTATTCTATGCTTTATCTACTATCATGTTAGTCAGTTGAAAGTAACTTGAAGAAATCTATAAGCAGGTTCACAAAATATTTACATCTCTCTTTCCTTTTGTTGGTATTCTAAGAAATATTTCTACTTACTTAAAAATTCTAAAGTTTTTGAAATGGTCTTTGTCGATGTGATCTTTCATTTCATGAATGGTTTACCTTTAACCTTTGACTCATCTGTCATCTGCTTTTGTAAGAAGTGATAATCACTCACACAGAGCTATGTGCACATTAGGCCAATTCTTGCTCGTCTAATTATGCTCTTTATAATATACTGTTTAACATAATTAGTGCAATCATTTGCTTTTCAGGACTGAAGATCAGATACTATACGTTAGAAGGTAATGATTAATTTATCACTTTAACAAAAACACCCACACCAAACCAACAATTAATTTGGGTCAACAGCATCAACAAATGTTCACTTGGATAAAATTGTGAATATTTACTTATAAGTGCATGATTCATTTTATAAAAAAAAAAAAAAAACCTGAATGACTTACTACCACATCAGGTAAAGTAAAAAACATAGATTATACGGCTCAACTGTCTACAGATCTATTTTGGGATTCATTAATTGCTGACAATATAACCAGTATTTTTTTGGCCATGACCAAAGCACATCAGAATGACTGAGTTTAAATCAAGTACCCTTGGAATGATTGGGAAACCTATTTCCTAATAGATAGACAACAGCAGGTACAAATGACCTTAATGGGAAATTTGTTTCAAAACCATTTTTAGCAGATGATCGGAAAGGATGACCACTCTGTCCATGCATTTGAATCTTAATACAGGAATTGACAATTTGAGATTGATACTGAAATCTATGAGGGCTCCCAAACCCTTAGTCATTGTGAATTCAGCATATGTATGTGAACTTATGGTTACATACATCAATAATTTACATCTATAATACACATCATGTATTTACATTGAGATATGCTTTGATGATAAGAGTCTCATGGATGTTACATCTGTTATAATGATACCTTCCTGTATGGTTGGTGGAATTATATTCATTGATTCCTTCTTTGGGGTAGAGGGGAAAATCCCAGGAAACACTCAAACTCAGTTAATAATCCAATCAGCTTCCTCCTCTATGGCTTACACCTTGAAAACCCTGTTCCTGTGCCCTCTAGAACAGGCAATGAGTGATCTACATGTGAATTCTTGCCCTTTGGAGAGGAAAGGAATCTACCAGTGCACACAACAAGCACCTCATAAGCCCACAAAGAAGGAACTTGCAAATGCCATTAAAGCAACCTAGAAGATACAATCATGTTTGATGGTTTTACTGTAAATCTCTTTACCTTAAAAACCAGGCAACAGGCAAGCTAGGCATGTGTGATGTTGGGCAACCCCTGGAAGCTCTTATGTCCTGCTTGCTGGAAATCTGAGGAAACACCCATCTCACTCCAAGCAGAACAGCTAGAGGCATATTGAAGGCAGGGTACAAACTATCACTTTTAGTCACAGGATTTTTGTTAGGTCTTAGGAGTTAAATTTTCCTAGGTTTCTTATAATAAAGATTAATACATTTTTCCAAAGGCACAACAAAGCATCCTTTCAGGTCACCACTGATTTCAAAATAAAACAGTGCAAAACAAAACTGGAATTTCCCGATTCGATGTGTAAAAGGCCAACATCTGCTGATGCTTAGAGATGGGGATGTGGTGGAGGCGGCCAAATGAGATGTCGAGTGAGCAGTACAGTCCAAGGGTCCATGCAACACACAGCTGACATTCCAAACAGAAACACACCCCGATGCCAAAGAACTACTTTTCCATCCATCCATTTCTGAAATTTTTGGCAGGCCAGGTCGCGATAGCAGTCTCAATAATTTGTTTCAGCTTGCTTCTATTTGGTTCCTTTTTGCTCTAAAACGCATGTGCAAATGCTGTTGTCAAGGCCTGAAAGGAGCACATTTGGGGTATATCTACAGGTAGACAAATGCCAAGGGAGGTATTAAAACAGAAAAATTAGACAATTAGAGATGAAGATTTTCATTTGCAAGTTTGTAGCACTGATGCTCCTTCAACAAGATCACAAAGAGGATGCTCTAATATTAGGCTAGTATCTAAATGGGCAAGAACAATATTTCTATTTACACAGCAGCCACTTTTCATAGCATTTAACACATCTGGTGCTTAACAAATCAGTGTCGGGGACTATTCACAAGCTTAAGCAAACTGGGTTGATTTATAAATTGGAAGACCTGACTGTGCATTTATAAGAAATGGGAAGTTGTTTTATCCAAATTATCAGAGTATTGCTTTTCTGATGGATGTTGGGTGTTGCAATTCTTCAGCTGCTGCTGCTAACACCGCAATCACCCTACAAGGCACAGCACTTATGACATGGGCTGTGAGGGGTAGGGAACACCACAGTGAAAATTCTCTTCACTTACAGTGTATAACCCCGGCTTCCTCGGTTCTTTATTTCCAATCAGTTATTCAGCAATTATTCCAAGGTCTTAACCATCAGAGATTAAGAGTGCAATATATAAAAATATGTAAAATTCTGCTCTTAAAAGTCCTTGGGCCTTTTCTTAATGGGCATTCCAGGCTTGGTGTTAGGGTGTCATCGTTTTACACATGAGCTACAATCTGGTTCTCCCATGATAGTTGAGAGAACGTTCTTTGCAGTGATACTAGAGAAGGGTTCCACAAAGGGTTGAAGAGGGATTTCTCCTCAGTTGCTTAGATTTCTAATAAGAGATTTCTTGCAAGAATTTCTAGTACTCTGACTCCTAAATTCTGCAGGTATTTTTTTTATATCCCTTCTCTATGAAATTGGAACCTAACAAGTCAAGAAGACATGGATCACTGTATCTTAGGAGGGAGAAATGGATATACTAATTATCTTTTTTCCTTCATTCCTCCAGAAAGACTAATGATCATAAACCTGCCTCTTTCAGGCCTTCACAAAGCCTAGAGTTTAATGCATTAACAAAATTCCCTCCTCCTGACTTCATAGCCTTTTCCTTGGGTTCTAATGAATACGCCCAAGGCATTCACTGACATTCATTCTCTGCTTTCTAAATTATGTAGAAATCCGCATCCAGTCCTAGAGAGACAGTTCAATTTATTTGTCGTTTACTAAGTATGGGTAAATAGGACTATTTATATTTTTGTTAAATGACCTATGGTTGCCTAAGTAATTGCACCTCTGTACAGGTGTACTTCATTGATCAAAAGTAGTCAGGAAAGCTGTGGCACTTCCGTGTCCACGGAAGAGTTATGTATAAATAACTATTTTATCTGTGCTCTCACCATATCTGTGCAGAAAACCAACACAAATATGCAATCATAGAGAAAATACTCTATTCCATCAGAAATGGACCCTGGGAAAATAGATCTGAGGACCTGAACAACACAGCAAAGCTGGCCTAGACTTGGTTTGGTGATTTTTTTTTTACTTACTACCAATACTGGAAATACTGGGGATACCTGCAGAGAAAGAAAACAACAAAGAAAAGCAGTTAACTATTTATTAGTACATGATATCTTTAACGTAGCATAAAAATCTCAGAAACCTGAAACTTGGTAACATTCAGACCATAAGTAAATCAGCACAGAAAAACTGTATACATATATCCAGCCATCAAAAACATTTTGCTTTAATTCTAGATCTCCTAGGCTCATCAGAGTTGAGAAGTTAATGATCAACTTCAACAGCTGGTCTGAGGAAGGCTCATGACATCAAACATTTTGTGCTTGCCTGTAAGGTTAATGAACATTTGCACGTGGTTCAAAATAGAGATTGAGCTAGGTTTATGTTCTGGGCACAGAGTACCAAATATATACCATGTGGACCTGTGCAAAAATATCCACATATGCAATAGATCTTTTTAAAAGTGCTATGAGATGCATGTGTTAGCTGCTGAAAATCATTTGGTACTTTATTTGATTAATTTCACATAACCATCATTTTTATTCCTCATTTACTTGTCAGATATGTGGATTAAACTCTGTAATAGAAACTTAATTGAGCAGAATAATTCAAGAATACATTAGGTTGTTAATACTGATCATGTACATCATTGATTTTCAGCTTTCTCTTTAATTCACAAGTTGTGCTAAGGTAGTGGAGCCATCTCAGAATGTAGCTGGACTTGGTATAAATGTGAAGTCAATTTAGTCTGTTTCCAGATTAAAACTCCTAGCCAAGAAATATGGTGCTGTAGCCTAGAGCGGGGGCACAGGAGCCAGGCTGTCTGAGTTTGGAGCTTGGCTCCAACTCCTAAATTCTCACTGACTGTGTGACCTTGGGGCAAGTTGCTTAACCCCTCAGTGGCTCAGTTTCCTACCTCTTAGGGTTCTTGTGAGCATTATACAAACTGACAGATGTGAAACACTCAGAGCACTGCCTGACAGGAAGTACGTGCTATAGCTGTCTTCAATGTGATTACTAGTACTGTTCTAGCTGGTTCGTAAAGCCACACCATGATAGATATTGCTAATTAAAAGTCAGAGTTTTACATCCTGGCCACTAAATTTGGGTAGTGGTTTGGATGAGAGCATGAGATGGGAATCACACAGACCTGAGTGAGAGTCCTGCTTCGCTACTGACTAATTGGGTGATTTTAGGCAAGTTCCCCAGCTTCTCTATACCTGTCTCAACATCTGAAAAGGGGCTAATAATATCTACTGCATAGGGCTGCAGTGAGGATTGAATGAGATAGTCCATAAAAATGTCTGACACATGGTACATAGCCAATAAATGATATCTGTCAATGAGTTGTTCAGACTCGTTCCCCACATCACTGAAGTACAGTAACAGGTGGTGACTCCAAAAATCATTAAACTTCTACTTTAGTATTTATCTTCGAACGACTGCCCTCTGCTTATTTTAACTAATCATTGTCTGGCTCAGAGATTTCTAGCTTTCTATTCTTTAGAAACCAAGAGGTATTTTCCTATTTCTTAATAGGGAATGGGGAGGAGGGGTAGAATGAGGAATTAAGGCTTACTATAAATTTTTTTTAAAAAAACTCTGGAAAGAATGAAATCTTATTTTTGGTTCTTAGATACATTTAATAACCTCTTGATTTTAAATGCTCAGAGTTTATAGTGCCTCAGTTTAATTACTGATCACTGATCAACTCAAACTGGAAAGCCAAATTTTCACTTCCATGTTTTAGCTCTATCCCATGAACTCAATTTCAAGCTGAATGCAATTTCTGCAAAGAACTGCTGCATTCCTGTCCTGACACTTTGGTAGACTATATTTGCTGCAGTGTGATAATGACTTGTACTGAATCTTTATTTATTTTTTTCTTTGCAAATCCCCTGTTGAGTGAGGTATGATGTCAGCATCATAATTTTAGTATCAATTGCAGAAGCTCCAAATTTCTCCATGATTGAAAATCCTGCTCCATTGCAAGGAACTGCTTGCCTGTTGTAATCTGTCAAAGAGAATGGAAGTTAGGATGGCAGTAAGAGACCTTTCATGTGTTTTCAAACTTACATGGAGTTAAAGGGCCATGCATAATGCAAGGCAAAGTTCTCAGGGTGCTTGGCCAGACACAATGGAGACCAAACCCCCAAGACCATTTGATGCAGTACTTGCTGCAGTTGAATACTTTAAAAAGAGGCAGAAATACTGCCATTCCTTTGGGAATACCAGTGCTGGAGAGCAATGTTCATTACAAGTATAAAAACCTCCCCAAGTGAGGCTGTTATGAGATCCTATTTTCCTCATGAAGATGTTTTCTTTTACCTAACATTGGAAGCTTAAAATTCAGGCTCTTCCTCATTTTGTGGATTACAATTTTTTGAGGTGCTGCCAGATGAGTCACTTTCTATTTTACTGCTGTAAAATGGGAATGGCTTAGAAAAGATTTTTAAACTGCTCATTTGAATAAACATTTTTGAAGTTCAAAGTATCTGAACACCAAAGGACATCCATTAGTATATTTTCAAATGTTATCTTTTTTCTAATGCTTCTTATTTTAATGTCCAAACACCTTGCTTTTGGTTCTGTACAGACAACAAAGAATTCAGTAAACCCACCACATTCATTTAAAAAGGCTACAAGTAAGCCATGAGAAATCCTTCAAACACTCAAGGAAATAAGACAGGAAGGGCTAGAAATGAATTGCAACAACTCATGGGGTGTCTTTGGGGTCTGTGAAAAATAAATCAATGAATGCATCCTATAACAGCAACTTCCCTGTGCAGTGACAACTATTATCTAAAGAATATGTTTACCTTTAACACTGAGCTCAGAAGTCATTTCTTCCCTTCCTTCTCTGTATCCCCGATGTGAGTTAGCCACTCTCTCCTTCGTGATCCCACAGCTCTTTGTACAGGCCTCCATGATCAATTTATCAACTTATTTTTGTGATTGTTTGTGTGTTTGCCTGTGAGCTCCAAGGGGACAAGCTTCATGTTTTATTCTTTTTGGTACTTCTCATCTCTGCCTGGGACCATGCCTGATACAGAAGAGTTGCTTGATGTGTATTCGAGCAAAAATTTACTACTTGTTTCCATGAAGGTTTCTACCATTGTGAAAATACCACTTTTGGTCATAGTATGACTTTGACCCCTATAAAGTGCTCCACTGAGACATTTCTCAGAGTTCAGGATTAATGAATAATTTTGTGGTCTTTGAACACGTCCTCCATTCTGACAGCAAGAGTTACACAATGTACAGATTCCTTCACTGCTCTTTCTTCCATGCAGCTCAGAGGCACAGAGCTCACTTGAAGCTCAGCTGGGGAAACCGGGTAGCACTTAATGTTTGGCCTATTTTCTTTCTATTCCTTTTCTCAGATCTTCCTTTTAATTCCTATTTTGATACTCTTATTAGTATTTTTTTTTCCTAAGCCACTCGGGAGTAAATACAGATTTTGTGGGACCTAAAGTGTATACAAATCTGAGAGCTCTTCTTAATAAAGAGAACATAATATTAAAAGACAAAATTAGACATGATATTGAATTTTTTTATTTAGAAGGAGACCCATGAGGGACCCTGAAGTTTAAGCTTCATAAGTTTAAATATACCACTGGAACAATCTCAAAGATACTTGGGAAAGAGAAGTAGATGATAAGTAGATAAAAAAAGAAGGGAAGGAAGAAACTGGGAAGTCTAATTCAGAAGGGGAGATAAAAAAGTGAGAGCTAAAAGGTATTTAAGAAATCATCTTATTCAGCTCTTTCATTTTACAGAAGAGGCATAAAGAGGTGCAAGTGCCTTGTCCAAGTCCACCTCTTTATATTCAGCATCGGAGCATGTAATTCCCAGTCCCTGACTGAGACATTGTAAACTTGCACTGAAGAAATGAGCACAAGTGTGCATGAGCTTTAATGAAGGGTCCTGCAATACACGGTATATGATTTAGTACTAATGCTCCCTCTAGAATAGAAATATCACTTCAGTCTGCAAAGTACATACAGGTTGAGTAAGCCAACCAGGACCAGGATGCCACCATGTGCCAAAAGAATGAGAAGGTGCTCACCTTGTAGGTACGTGCAGTTATTCCCTCCTCAACCAGCCCTTCCCACTCCCACATTTATTTTAATGTTTATTTTAAAGGAATTCTGCTGCAAATAGGGAGATGGGAACCTAGTGGTTATACGATATTTTCTTCATTTTAAAAATTTTACTACCCATCCTCCCCCTACCAAGTAACTAGCTAAAGGGAACATAGTTAAGCTTATGGGAGTCAACACGATGGAGACCACTTGAGACTACAACACATTACGGCGAGACCTCAAAAATAAATACCCTGATCTTCACAAACAGATTAATGCAGTGCTAAAAGCATTTAGTCCTTTTGAGAATCAACAGAAGCTTCAGCAGCTTTTTAAGAGGAAAGCAGAAGGATAAGGATTCAGCATGCTTCGAATGGAGAGGAAAAATTACCACTGTTATAGATGGTTTGAAAAAAAACCATCAAGTAGGTGACTAGATCTTCTTATAGTCAGACGGCAGCCATTGGGAGCTCTAACTCAAAAAAGGCCTGTCTAAGAAGATGCAGGTAACGAGTAAGAAAACATTCTGCAGACTCATTTGTGTTCCAGAGGAATTACTGCCAGTGTCCTTCCAGCCCTAGTCCCTGGTCCAAACTGCTGTTGGTAGGAGGTGCAGTGAGTTGTCCTCCAGGAACTTGAAAGTGAGGGAAATAAGATTGCCCTCACACAATTATGCTGTGAAATCCTCATATAAACGATGCAAGCAGAGATAGCTAAAGTAATCTTATAGCAATAGAAGGACTCTGGGGCCTAAGCGCAGGTGATGGTTTTGACAGAGGTGACATTAACCTGACTTACCGTATTAACGTATCTGAAGAATGAAAGGAGCCATCAAAGGGTGGAAGCCTAGAGAAGGGAGCATCCTGAGACATATGGTGGAAGTACTGGCCTAGCCTTTTCTCAGGAAGAGGGAATGGTAACCTGTAAACTTTCAAACCTTCGGTGTTCTGTTGGCATTTGGAAAGCTGACC